TTTTTGAGGCAGAGTCTCACTCTGTCGCCCACGCTGGAGTGCAGTGGCGTGATCTCGGCTCACTGCAACCTCTGCCTCCTGGGTTCAAGTGATCCTCCTGCCTCAGCCTCCCGAGTAGCTGGGATTACAGGCGTGCGCCACCATACCTGGCTACTTTTTGTATTTTTAGTAGAGACAGGGTTTCACAATGTTGACCAGGTTGGTCTTGAACTCCTGACCACAGGCGATCCACCCACCTTGGCCTCCCAAAGTGCTGGGATTAAAGGTATGAGCCACTGCACCCGGCCGACATTCTTTAATGACTGCACACCAGACAGTGCAGCCACAGACACCACTCCCGTAACCTGTTTCCCTTGGATTCCAGGGAAATGACTCATTCATGACAGCTGAGGTCACCGTTGCCCCCACTGCTTCCTATCCCTGTGAAAGGCCATCCCAAACACCAGCAGATCCATTCCTGCCCCTTGTGTATTCTGCTTCTGCGTTACTTGCCCTGGGGGTGTCAAACCCAGGTTCATAATGAAGGCTGCCAACATGTCATCCCATGGCCAGGCCTCAGTTCTGGCCACTAGGGACTGTCTCTAGCTTTCCAAAAGGAAGGAGTTACGACGGCCAAGGAAATGACGCAGTCTTACTGTCTTTGGCCAAGTGGTTCCTAAAATGGACCCCTTTTGACCTTTGTAGGGAAGGAAAAAGAACTTCCCTCTTTCCCATTAGGTTCTGTAGCTGAGTGAACCAACAAAGACGGATTAACCGGGGGAAAGCACACACATTCTATTTAATATTTTTACATGCACACGGGAACTTTCATAAGAAAAATGAAGACCCAAAGAAGCCGTCGGGACTGAGAGCTAATATACCCTTGTAACAAAAGATGATAAACGTATGGAGAAGTGACAAAGGAGAAAGGTTCAGGTTTCTAGGGGCAGTCATTGGGGGGCAGTGACTAATGAAAGACAAGGGTTATTTTGGTGGGTTTGTACAGATCCGGTTCGGGGTGGACTCCCAGCCCCCGGCGATACGAACCTTCTCCTCTTCCTGGCCCAGGGCAGATGTTTCTTATGGGAAATTTCCTGACCCGCTGTTTGGGACAGAGCGGGAGGTCAGCCCGCCGGCCCTGCATCCGAGGCTTCCCAAGTGCCCTCAGCTGCAGTTAGTCAACATGCCAAAGGGCACATTTTGGGGTGGTGTTCTGCGTTCTGAACCCTTTCGTCTCCCTCTTGCCCACACTGAGGTTCACAGACACCTGCAGAGGAGCTGGTGCAGGAGGATGGGGAGGTGGGGAGGCAACATCCCCTCCACTGCGTGAAACGCTCATGGGCACATGGCTGCTGCCTCCACCTACCCAGACACAGAGCCAGCCACTGGCATGGCAAGCAGCAAGCCAGCACAGCCTCCAGGCCATCCATCCTTGCTTCTCAGTACCAGGGCCTCCCATCAACGCCAGCGCCAACAGAGAGCCTGGACCGCCCCAACCCCTCCCTCCTGCTCACTCTCCTTCTTCCTTCTAGAGCCCCTGCTGCCCCTGTCTCCAGAATTGTCCTCTGCTCGCCAGTTAACCCATCCCCAACGCTTGTTCATCCCCGGGAGGCCCAGCCTCTCAGCGCTCGATGGTCACCTGTCCCAGCCGCGGAAGGAGAAGGGGACAGAGGACACTGGTTCATTCCACCATATTTACTGGGGCCAGGCCCACACTAGGTGCTGGGGACTCCCAGGTGGACTCGACAGAAACCTGCCCTGAGGGCCTCGCATGTTAGTGGAGGAGACAAATAACAACAGATCGACCAAGACTCAGTGGGAAACGTGCAGCCTGGATAGGTGCCTTGGTAAAGCCAGGCTGACACAGAGAGGGCGGGGGAGGCCTGTGCAGGGGCCATGGTCACTCGGGAGAGGGAGCTCGGCGGCCTCCCAGCGGAAGAGCTGGAGAAACGGCCTGGAAGAGGGTCGTCACCCCAGAGCGGTGCACAGCTTTCCTAGGCTCTCACCCTGCCTTGTGTGGGACACAGAGGGCGCCGGGCAGATCTGACACCCACAGGCGTCGCCGGGTTTGCCGGCACACACACTCACACACACACACTCATATTCTTGCTCTCGCACACTTTCCACACATACTCTCACACTCACCCTTACACTCACTTTTACACATTTCCTCTCGCACACCACATACTCGCTCTCCACACTCGTCACTCTTACACATATTCACACAGTCATACACACACACACACAAACAACTTCTGTATTTGATTAGGAACCTACACTAAAGGAACATCTATCACCTTCCATGTTTTGTTTACATTGCAACACATTCTTATACTTAGCCTTGGAAGGGAGGCTCCATGCTCTCTCCCAGTTTCTGAGTAGCCCCCACCCCCAGCCCTGTGGCAGTGGAGAAGAGAGGGGAGAGAAGGCAACATTTAAAAAAAAAAAAAGAAGAATGCAGTTCTCCGTCCCTGGGTCAAGAATGTTGCGTTATCTAGACAGATGCAAATTCAGGAAACAAAGTAAGAACTCCAGTCAGCTGCTTGGCCTGCCCCATCCTTGCTGTACTTGGGTGAAATGTCCCATTAATTTCCCCCCAACCCCGGGAAAAAGTGACCTGAGAACAGGCCTGAACCCTTGCTGGCTTTCTTTGCAGCTTCCTGGAAAGAATCGACAGCGTCAGCTTGGTTGACTACACACCCACAGACCAGGTATGTGGAATTAGGGTCCCCCACCGCGCACCAGAATCTGCGAGATTCATTTCCAATATGATTTAACGATTATTTCAGAATGGATTAAGGAAAAATCCCTCAGATACCTACTTTTTGCACATCGTTTGTACTGCCCTGGGTGTGTGCGTGGACTGGTCATCAAACCTTGTGCCTTGCTCCCCTGACTCTAGCACTTAAGTGGTTATGAAAATTGCCAGTATGCAAATGAGTTTATCTGCAGACAAGGAACATGCTGTTCCTGTTCCTCCTGGAGCTGCCCTCAGGAAAGCGAAGTCTTTGCTTCCTGGTTTCATAAACTACGCCCATTCTGTTTGGGCCCCGGGCCTGGGGAGTCCCGTATCACAGCGAACTTTCCAGGTGTGACCCAGAGCATCCCCTTTGGGTTGAGTCAGAAAAAAGCACTCCACCTTTTTTTTTTT